GAAAAACTCTGTTTACGATGGCAGAAAGGCTAAAGTTTCTGAAAAGGAAGTTCATTGAACTAAATAAAACAATGTTTGAATAGTGACTCTTTGTTTGTTGTTGATGTTTTGCTGTGAAGCATTCAGGAGAAAGTTTTGCATCAATATGACTGTTCATGCAAACAGCAACTTTAGATCAACACCGTCTTTGACTAATCCGCCGGAAGCTTATTTCTCAGCTCTAGGCTTCTAAGTAACAGTAGTACTAACTGTGCATAAATGTTTTTTTATTATTATTTTTCAAATTACATTTATTTGTACAGATTTTTTTTGCACAAACATAAAGGGAAAAAATTCTGCCACCACTTTAGCAAATTACACGTCAAGAACTTCATTTAATTTACTGCATTAGCCTAAATGCAGTGCATTTTTCTAAATTCATTGCGATTTTTGTTTGTTTGTTTGTTTGTTTGTTGTTTACTCATCCCATCACAACTCACACAATTTTTTGTATCTGCTGTCACGTGTGTCCAATCTAATCATCATTTATTTCTTGACGCAAATATAAAAAAGTTTGTTTTACCGCCAAACATACGGCCCAAATGTGTCAATAAAATTCAAACGTTTGCAAAAAAATTGCAGATCAATATCAATTTACAAAAAGTGCCGCTGGCTAGCAAAAAATCTTCAGTTTTCGATCTCCTTCAAAAAACACATCAGTTGAAATCGATCTCACATTTTTCTTGGCAGCTTCTTTTGTCCTGCCACGTGTCCTATCTAATCTAGCTTTTTGTTTAGACTGCACCGGCTAATGTAAAAGTGACTTTTGTACACAAGTGTTCATCGCCGATGTTCTGCAGAGAGCTGCAACACTGCACTTCAGGAGAAAAATTATGTCATCCACTGAATGCAAAGTCTAACTTGGCGGTGACTCTCTCTGTTCGATCCTTCTCCCTCGGTGTGCCAGAAATGGAGAAAGCATGTTGTTTGCGATCACCACCATCAGTTTAGGTCGTCAGACATTGAACCCAAGATACAACATCATCACCATCATCGTCGCCATCATCACCGTTGTCGTCTTGGCCATCACGCTATTAATATGAACCCAGGGAAAAACGTACCTACTTAACTATCGAATTGGGATTGTGTGCCAAAAAAAATTGCTGGTTTGAGTGTGTGTGTGAGTGTGTGTGAGATTGCCCATGAAAGTGAAAGTAGATATCGATGTAGGCCATCAGAGCAAATCACTAGTGAGGCGCCTCGCTAGTCTCCTCGCACCAGGGTCTCCTACTTCTTCTTCTTCTCTTTTTCCTTCTTCTACTTCATCTGCAACATCTTTTCTCTTGCTAAAAAGGACAACCCGATGTTGAGCATACTTTGCATTTCCTCTTTAGCAGTAAGTGTTTTGAGAAATTAAATTCAACCCAAAAGTAAACGGGGTGAAGATGTAGGCAATTTAGAGAAATGCTGAATGCTGTACCGCATGGCAAAAAACATCTCCCAAAGGGAGATAAAGAGTGCTTGCTGGGAAAAGGTCGAGAGAGCAACTCGGCGGTGGCAGCAGCAGTGGCTGCACTGTACTTGATTAGAACTGTCAAACAGATTTTCTTCTTCTTTCTTACTTCTTATACCGATGCCTACTGAACTTCGGTCTCAAAATGAGACCAAGGCAAAGTGTATAAATAGTACGCCGTGTGCACGGTCTGTCAGTCGATGTGTACGTTATGGCACATCTAAATACATCTAAATACACTGAAGAATGATGAGCAGCAGCAACAGTCCAATCAGGCATTGGGAGAAGTGTCTGCGTACACTCTCACTTCACTGCTACATTTGGGCATTCGTATCCGTCGGCCGCACTTTGTCATTGAGAGTCTCGCTCCGGAGTCAGCGAGTCAGTGGCAAACATACAGTCAGTGCTGATAATCGACCGGGGAGGAAGGGCAAAAAAAGAAAGAAAGAAAAGAAGGGAAGAAACATAGTAGCGAGACTAGCGAGTTTCGATTTCACTTTCAGCAGCACCATCAATGTCGGCTTATGCTCAAAGTCCGAGCCAGCCAACACTGTCTCCGACACTGGTGTTGGTGCGCCAGTTTTGCTGCCAGTGAAGATAATGGTAATGAGAGAGGACAAGGCGGCAGCAGCATCAGAAGCTGCCACTTTACTTGACTAGTCTCTGGTGTGAGAGTGGTGTGCAGTCCAAAAACACTGGTTTGAGTGCCGGTTGGAGGTGGTGCTGATAAGAAATGCAGTGCAGCAGCATCAGCAGCCAAAGCAGCCTCATCACCCAGTCACAGGGTGAAAGAAAAGTGGTGCATCGCACTGATCGAAGACGGCGATTGAACAAGTAGCTGCTGCTGCTGCATCCGAAGTTGCATCTGCTGAAGGTATATAAAGGAAGGCAGTGCGGTCAACCCATCAACAGTCACGTCAACCACCCAAAAGAGAGTCAATATTTTGATACGTTCGATCGCCCAGTCAATCAACCACTAGTTTCCCTCTTTGCATTCATCATCATCTGGCACGTCAGCCACCACAAACACTCACAAACTTCTTCGCGTAAGCCATGTCTTCCGTTCTGAACGCCGCTGCCTTTCTCCTTCTGCTGCCTCGACCGCAGCAGAAGTTCTTCCTTTTCCGCCACCACCGCCACCACAACCGCCACCTTCTGCTGCCCTTTCTCCTCCTGCTGACGCTGTNTCAGTCAATCAACCACTAGTTTCCCTCTTTGCATTCATCATCATCTGGCACGTCAGCCACCACAAACACTCACTAACTTCTTCGCGTAAGCCATGTCTTCCGTTCTGAACGCCGCTGCCTTTCTCCTTCTGCTGCCTCGACTGCAGCAGAAGTTCTTCCTTTTCCGCCACCACCGCCACCACAGCCGCCACCTTCTGCTGCCCTTTCTCCTCCTGCTGACGCTGTACCTCAGTACCTCGGTCGGGTCAGCAGTGCCGCTGATGGCAGCTCCCACAACTTCAGCAGCAGCAGTCGAACAGCAGCAGTCAGTGAAACGATCCTCAGGCACGGCCAGTGCCAGCAGTAGCGCCCACCCGCACCCACACCTCGAGGATGACCTCCTCCTGGCGCCCGCCTCCTCGTCTGCGCCCGAGTGGGCGGACATTCTGGCGAAGATGACGGCGGACAATCCGTGCGGCAGCGCCGCCAACTACAGCCTCTGCCAGCAGTGCGGCAAGTCCACCGGCGACCCGAAGGCCTTCTACCTGTGCTGCGTCAACTCCGACGACGTGCGCCAGTTCTGCAGTGACTTTGTCAATCACACCATTCCCTGATTCACCAGTCGCTACCTACCTAGCTATACTACTATTATTTTTCGCAAATGATACAGTTTGAGTCAACACAAAAGAGCACAGACAGACAGACAGACTAGAGCCTATCAGATATCAAATTACCTAGCTGTAAGCAACAAAAAGACCTTCCTTCTTTCGACTGCTGATAACTACCAACCACCACTGCACAGTGTCTGCTTGCCGCCCGCCAGCTTAAGAGTTCAAAGATCCGCGCCAGACTTTTCCTGGCTTTCCCTGGTACTTCTTTTTCAGCTCTACATTTCTCTCCTTCACCAGCGTGCAAATATTATTATTTTGAATGCTTCAATCAAATCACTCCCCAGCCCTTCACATTGCATCACATGTTTATCTTCTCAACCCAACGCGCTCTCTCTCAGTGCACCCAAATGCGCACCCAAATCGCCACCATAACCAAAATATAATTGCCAACTTTGATTTTTATCAAGCAATAATACCACAAACGACACCGCTGCCGCCGGTTTCTTTGCCAAATGCTGACGATTGCTGAATTGCAGTTACAGACTGACTGACGATCAGCAGCAGCACCTTCACAATAATCTCAATTTTGATAATGCTTGTTTTGATATTCATTTTTTGTACTTTTACTTTTTTATACAATCTTTTTTAGATACCTTTTCTACCCTTTTCTACATTTTCAAATATTTCTGTTCCAAAGTATTAACCAAAGAATCACTTTCTCACTTTTTGTACCCTTTTACAAAAAAGCTACAATTAAAAATCACCAATTTGTTTTTGTTATAAAATCAGTTTGTGTTTATTTATAATAATCAATTTATAATAAGTAAGTCGAAAAAAAGTGATAAATTAAATATCAGTTGGCATAAGTAGCTCGCAGGCGTTTCTTGTTGTCAGCCAAATACTTCTCAAGAGCGGGATCTGATCCCAGACCTGGACCGGGAGAACAACAAAGGAGTTCATTAGTGAAAAGGTAGACAAAATACACGTTGAAAGCAGACAATTTCGCAAGGCTAGTTAAACCAAACTTATATCAAACTCAAACTGGCTATAATTATCGGCACATTGCGATTACTCGGCAGAGTTTCGCAATCAGTGTTTCAGCACCAGATGATGATGATGAGACGACAGACAATCTCAATGCGCAAAGTTGTTGTACAACACACACACAAACTGAAACATCAACTTTAGCATATGATGGCAATGGTGGTGGAGGTGGCCTAATCGCTAACGTACCATCGATGATTGGGTACAGCACACGTGACTCGAGGATGAAGACGCACTCACACACCCTCTTGTTCAAAGTAGCAGCTGCTGAAATGATAAACACACACTTACCTAAATACTTGTTAATAAACTGAATCGACATGGCGGCAGTTATATCATGAACACTGTAGGTACTGTGAAGGGAAGGCAGAAAAAAGATAGTGTTAAAGCAGTTGCCAGAAAATTCATTTTCCACCACTTACCTAATGCCAGTCCGTCCCATGGAGTTTCCACTGAGAAAGAGCGCCAGCTTTCCCATGACAAAGGGAATGTCGCACTGCTGAAAGTGGCGGGCGCCGTTGATGGTAAGCGCCTGTCTGCGGTCCTCATCGTCGCCCTCAATGACGGCCATCATCTCCTGCAGCTTGGCGGTGTTCGCCTCGTCACCCGTCATGTCCTCCGTGTTGATCATCAGCACTGGCTGCGGAATGAGATCGAGCGCCTCGTCCTTGATGGGGAATGCCCAGGGGTCCAGGGCGACGGCCACCTTGAAGCGCAGCTCGGCGGCGGCGGTCATCAGCGCCGTGGCGCCGCCCATCGAGTGGCCCATGATAACGGCAGAGTCCAGGTCGAGCAGGCCCTCGAATTGGTCCTGCTGAAAGCCCGGGTCTAGGAGGTTCTGCAGCTCAAAGCCGGCATTGAGCGCCTCCAGCAGGTCCAGGGCTCGCGAGCACTCTCGCACGCGGTGCTGAATTTGGCGGTTGCGAAAGCGGTACACCTCGGGCTTGTGATTGGTGGTGGGCACAAAGCGGTGGCGGACCCAGGCCATCTCCAGGTGCATGAAACCGCTGATGGGAGAGAGTGCCTTCGGGGGCACGTAGTTGGGGTCGTCAATCTCGTCTACGCCAAAGTCCACCTCGTCGTCGGCGTCCACCTGATCGACGCCACTGCTGTCTTCAGTGCCCACCTTTTTTATGTCGTCGCCCTTGGCGTTATCACAGTGGTCCGGGTAGTCGGGGAAAAAGTTGGGATTTGAATCACGCAGAGAGTAGGCAGCCCGGCGGGCAAAGAAGGCAAGGCACGCAGAGTTTTCGCGGTGTTCAACCACTGAAAGAAAGAAAATGACAATCGTTAGTTGGTAAATAAACAACAAACATCAGCTGTGACCGTTACCTGCCACCACAAAGCCTCGACTGGCCAGCTCAACGGCCAGCGTCGAGTAGGTGGTTCGGCAGGCGCCGAGGCCATGTGAAAAGACCACCACGGGGTACTTCTTCGTGACGTACTCTGCCGGTTCCCCTCCAGCGGAGTTCCCCTGGTCACTCTTCTCGACGCGCACCCTCTGCCCGAGTGGCATCGGCCTGGCGTGCGGCGTCACCGGCACAAAGACGTTCTTCTTGGCGTTGATGCGCTCAATGAAGCGCATCATGCAGGCGGTGGTGATGCCGGCCGCGTCCGCGTAGCCCGTCTTGTAGTTCTCATGCGGCAGCCAGTTGGGCCACAGCAGCGGATTGCCCGCCTTGCTCTCGTCCACCTTGGCGGGGTAGAAGAGCCGCACCAGGACGCCTCCCTTGCGAGTGTAGCCCACCAGAAAGTCGCGCACGCCGACGAATCGCAGCGGTCCAGTGGGCAGAGGGATGTGGTAGCGATTCGCCGACTTGTCAATCTTGGCCTCGCGAAGCTTAGCAGGTCGCGGCATTTTGTGTCAGTCGATGATAGTGGTGGGGAAGTGGATAAGTAGAAATGCTGAAAAGGCAAAAAGAATAGACACAGAGGTTAGGCAATTGTCAAACACGCACTAAACAAACACATACCGCAGTCTGGATGAGTATTTGACGTTACATCGGCTGACTTGAGCAGCACTCGACGATAAGAGAGCAGTGCTGCTGGTGCAGGTGCTGATGATGGTGCTGATGATGGTGCTGGTGCAACAAGTCAGGTGCACAGTTATGTGGGCACAGTGAGCAAAATAATTGATGAGATGATCAGTGTGATGATGAGAAGAAAAGAGAAGACGATGCCAGTGATGTTTGTATTTGTTGTTGGTGCAAGCTCGGCGACTTCAGTCGAATGGTTCAGTCGGATGGTTCAGTCGGTCTCTGTCGAGCTGGCAGATTCAGTCTTCTTCTTCTTCTTCTTCTTCTTCTTCTCCTCTTTCACTCGGCGGTAAAAACAGCAGCAGCAGCACTGAATGCCAGTGATGGGTGGTGGTAATGGAGAAGATGCTGAGCTGCAGAGTGAGTGCTCATCCACTGAAGAGAAGCAGCAGCAGCATCAGCAGCAGCACTACTTGTTTGTCGAGTTTGTGGCAACGGGCGGATTTGATGCGTCTTCTTATACCCACAGTGTGATCACCACCACCGTGGTGGTGGTGCTGCTGGTAGTGATCTGCCTCGATGGCCTCTGCATTGCGGCAACGGCAGCGGGTCGCGCGCGCACTACTCTCACAGGCCAACTGATTTCAACTGTTTGTTTGTTTGTTTGTCTGTCTGTCTGTTACCACATGCGTAGTAGTACAGTTACGCAATCTAGCGGTTATTATTTAAAGGTGCCACCGTTGAGGGAAAGTGCGCCTTGAAAGTGACTTGATCGGGCACTTTCNACCCATGTGCGGTAGTACAGTTACGCAATCTAGCGGTTATTATTTAAAGGTGCCACCGTTGAGGGAAAGTGCGCCTTGAAAGTGACTTGATCGGGCACTTTCGATGCACTCTCATCCTTTTCACTGTTAACTGCACCAGCTTGAGTGTCCTGTCCCATTCATTCAACTTTGTGTTGTTTCAAACTTGTCATGGGCATTGGCAACGGTTGACAACGTCTCGAAACGGTGAATCGGATTGATTAATGTTCAATATTTTAAACCTGCACACTGTTTTGAGTTCACTACACATTGGCACACTAGAGGGCAAAGCTTGCCCATTACCATGCTCATCACCACTTACAATGTGTGATTTTTCTGGAAACTGATAGATCAAATGAGCATTCTCAAAATGTTGAAACAAGTGAGATTTGGTAGCAATTCTAGCTACATTCCTGAGTCTCAAATTTGGTTTGTACCTTTGCTTATAATTAGTATTTCTACAAAGAAAATCGAATGCAAAAGTGCAAGGTCGTATGCGTAAATGTAATAAATACTTCAAAGAAGAGTAAAACAAAATATGGAAAGAATGGGTCTACTACTTCTACTACTACTCATCCTTCTCGTAGGCGTACTTCCAGATGTTGCTCAGACAGACGCTGGAGTGGAAGCGGTAGAAGAGCATGATGGGCAGCGTCGCGTGGTTGATGATCATGCTGGTGAACTCGCCAAAGTAGTGGTGCGGCGCGTGGTACACCTCCACGCTCTTCAGCTCAAAGGTGTTCAGTATCCAGAGGGTGACGTTGAGTATGAGGGCGAAGATGACCAGCTCACGGCCGGGCTTCCGCAGGCGAACCTGCGAGCCGTTGGCGCAGCGACGCAGCCCATCGACGATGAAGGGCGACTGGATCATCACCTGCGCTATCGTCAGCAGCTCAATGACGCTGAGGAGGATGTTATTGGTGCGCTCAAAGTCCTCCTCGTGAGATATGTCGGCGATGCTGGCGATGATGGCCAGTGAGTAGTGGACAAAGTAGAAGGGAATCGGCACGAGGACGAGAATGTCGTCCATGATGGTGAAGGCGTTGTCGCGGTGGTGATGCCCCACCACGTCCAGCTGCTGAATTTTGAAGTAGGCCAGCGGAATGACCACAAAGGAGCAGATGGTGAGGGCGGCAATCTGCAGCGAGTAGATGGCCACGCTGAAGTGCGAGTAGACGTCCTTCTTGATGGTGCTGAAGAAGATGACGATGGTGATGATGATGACGAGGAGGAAGGCCAGCCCGAGGAAGAGGCCTCGGTTGGAGGCGTGGCAGTCGACGTTTAGCGCCAGCCCTGAAGAGCGGTAGTGAATTTCCTCTTCGCCGTTCTCGTCCTCTACAATTTCCTGCTTTACCGAATGAAAAAGCGACTTGTCGTTGACTTTGCCTGATAGAAAGGTGAAAGAATAGTAAGCACTTTTTGTGGTGATGCTGAAAAGAACTTACCAATATTCGTCCAGATCATGTACCAGATGGAGGCGATGGCAATGTTGAACTCAATGGTGAAGGGGTAGAAGTAGGGCAGTGCACTCATCGACTGGTTGCTCACGATGGCCAGTTTAGAGCAGTTGATGGAGTGCACCAGGTGGTCGTAGAAGGGTTCATCGTAGTGGGCGAGCATCTCCTCAAAGCTGTCCTCCATGTTGGTGGCATTCGCCTCGGACAGTCGCCGATCGACAAAGTCGTCGATTACTTCGTCGACGATGGTGTCCAGCCAAAGGCTGATGGCCGTCCCCAAAAGGTGCATCAGCGCAAAGCGGGCCATGTTCTTGAAACGATTAATGATTATCTAAAAGTAAAAAAATTAATGTTTGAAAAATTTTTAATGTCTTTCAAACTCACATTAGAGTACTTGAAAGCAATGAACAGCTGATAGAATGAGAATATCACTCGAACAATGGCAGTAGTCAGTTTCAGTGGTTCCTGGCAAACTGCATCGTGGTGCACAAAGAAGTACACCTGCTGAACAGTGCCAATTCCTAGGTGCATGATGCTTCCAAAACAAAAGACTAAAACAAAATGTTAGTAAAATGTCGTTTCAAAAACTTAACCAACTTACTAATCATTCCCGTTTTCAGGTAAAAGTCATTGGAGTGTTTTCCCTGAAAGTACCGGTATCCAGTTTCAATTCGATTTTTCCCTCCGCCCCCAAAACCCATACTGGCCATTGAAATGGAGTCAAAGTCTCTGTTTACTGCCGTTTTCGCCTTTGATTTTCTTGATTTTTGACCGACGTAGTCAAAAATCATGGCCGTGTTTAAACTGACTGAATCGTAGGCATCTGCATTGTTCTGCATGTTACGACCGCCTGAAATGGTGGCAATTCTTCCACCTCCGCCACCATTTCTTCTTTCACCACCACCATCTTCAGCAGCGCCCTCTTCCAGGGTATTATCTTCATTGCTGCCCCTTTCGAAATCATCTTCTTCATTTTCCTCATTTCTCTCTTCCTCTTCCTCCTCGTCATCATCAATACTGTCGGCAAACTCCTCTGCAACAAATGGCTTGACAAACTCCATTGCCCATCGCTTGTACTTGAGAATGTCGTAGTGGAGGAAGGCCAGCCAGCCAATGCCCATCACGCAGATGACAATGAAGAAGGCGTCTCGCGCGTAGTTCTCTCGCTCATTAATGTTAAACATGGTGCACATAGCGCCAATGATGATCAGCAGGAAGGCGTACATGATGGAGAGGAAGCGGGCGGTTCGGGCGAGCATTTCGGAGTTGCCCCGTCGGTGTCGCTCACGCTCGTCAACGGGGCCACCCGGTGAGGAGGAGATGCCCGTGAAGGAGGAGGCATCCTGGTGGCCGGATGAAATGCTGAGAATGTCTGCAAAAAGTGAAAACAAAATTTTTGTTTTTAACTTTTAAAATTTATTTGTCACATTTATTGAACAGTACCTGACAAGTCTGAGTTGTTGTTGATCACCTTGTGGCGCTTGGCGATGCGACTGGGCGCCGAGAGGTAGGAAGGATTGTTGTTGGGGAAGCTGCTGCCCATTCCCGTCGGATTGGTCTTGATGCCCAGATTGCGAAAGTAGGCGGCATCTTCGTCAAACTGAAAGATGGACGCCGTCGAGGGACGAGTGAGCACCACCGAGGGCACGTCCTTGTCGGGCGCGTTCAGACGTGCAATCTGCGAGAGACGCCGCGCGAAGCGTCGCATTGTCGTGGCCATGGCGCTTATGTTTTTTACCCCCGCTTTTGTTGCTGCTGCTAACACAACACCACTTTAAGCACCGACACTTGTCTTTTGTTCAATAAAAGCTTTTAAAATTTTAAACAACAAAAGAAGAAGCGGTGGTGGTGGTGGTAGTGACACAAACACACACACAACTGACAAACCACTTTACAAAGAAGGTGTCAAGTGTTGGGAGAAGAAAAAGAAGCTGGTGCCGTGACAAGATGTTGCTTAAGTTAAGTCAACAACAAATCGATTAGATCGGACATGACAACTTGTCAATACGTGGTTGATTGAACGCGTCAATACTTGGATCCATAGAGCGGGATGCGTGCGTAAATACTTGGACAGAAGCACAGGTATTTCTCTTCTTTCTTCTCCAGTTGCCCTTTAATTAAAATACAACTGTCATCTAGGAATATTATGCCTGGCTACGGCAGCACACTTTTCTCCTTTTCTTCTTCACCTGACTGCTCGCTCCCTTCCAACTTTGACAACTTAGTCTCACTTGATATCAGCTGTAGACGGCTTAATGCTCTGCAACTTTGTTTGTACTCTGAATGACTCAATCGGCTGACATTGAGACAGTGACACTGTCAGGGAAGAGAGAATTGACAGTGAAGAAGACTGCTTTGATTTTTAGAGAGCAGACGTTGTCTACCACGGAATTCGTTGCTGAGGATTGCTTTGTTTGCATACAAATTAAAAGTGATACCTGAGGATAATGAGGCTAAAAGGATGTTGGCTCAGTCTCCAAAAGTCAGTGATGATGGAGATGGTCAAGTGATCCCAAAGATGTGCTAGATCAATATTTAGAAATTTGAATGTGTTTGATCAAATGTGTTTATGACTATTTGTTTGTTATAAACCAAAAGCCGATTCTTTGTATTTTTAGAATCATGCAGTGTCCAATTATAAAGACAAAAATGGAAAGTCAAAGTACTCAGATCTAAAGAGTTTACGCGATAAGATAAACGTGATTTGTTTGTGAGAAAGTGCATTTTTATAGTTTGTTTGGGTTAGATTTATTTACTGATTAACAAAATTAAAATGTCGTTTTTAGGTTTAAATCAGTGTCGATGAGATTTGCTTACATATAAATGATGGGGTTAGTGAAGGGATGGATAAAATAAAGTTCCAATATTTATGTACATTTTTCTCTACTATGACGATGATATGTGACAATAAAATGGCAATAAAAAATGAGTTCTGGGTTGACTGAATACAATAAAATACAGATTTGTTCAGTAAGGGTGCTGTGTCAGTGAAATTGACATTTTTTGTAAATAAAAAATATACTAAGACAATGACAATGACAATGAAAGTTATTGATGTTGTTTCAGTTTATACATTTTGGATACAGTGAATAAGCTGACAAAATTAAAATAGTTTTTCAATTTTGCCAAATACAAAATAAATAGTCAGTTAAATTCTTTTTTTTTNAAACAATGACAATGACAATGAAAGTTATTGATGTTGTTTCAGTTTATACATTTTGGATACAGTGAATAAGCAGACAAAATTAAAATAGTTTTTCAATTTTGCCAAATATAAAATAAATAGTCAGTTAAATTCTTTTTTTCTTTCCAACAGAATGGCGTTTAAATTATTTTCTCATCAGATCAGTAAGGAGTAGGAGGTGGAGGAAAAAGATAGATGGAAATTTAAAATATTTTCAACATTTAGTTCACT